GAACTAAGGTTTTTTTTTTTTTTTTTAAAGAAAATTCAGGTCTTCCGACCATTCTTAGATCTCATTTCTTTTCCCTATTCATATATTTTAAATGGTTGTATTTAAAATTGGAAAAAAACAATTAACGATCACTTCCTCGCCCTTGATTTGGTGTTTCATATTAACTGCAGTCTATTAAGGCATATTTTTAAACTTCACTTCTGTGTACCAATTAATGCACACCATTCCTGATTATGCATTCTGACTTTCTTCAGCCAATGAGGGACCTTGTCTATAGAAGAAGGCAAAGCTTCACTGTGGTATTAAAAATCTGCAAGGTCATAGACCCTTATGAAGTCCCTATGTTCTAGAACAGGGGTCCTCAACCTTGGCAACTTTTAAGACTTGTGGACTTCAACTCCCAGAATTCCTCAGCCAGCTTTGCTGGCTGAGGAATTCTGGGAGTTGAAGTCCACAAGTCTTAAAAGTTGCCAAGGTTGAGGACCCCTGTTCTAGAAGGATCAGCCAGTAACACATAAGACAGTAAGGCTTGATCCCACATTACTAATTGTATGTCAAGTTCATCAAAACAAGTCAACAACAGAAATGGGGTCTGTTTCATTTCCCTCACTGCTTCAGAATTAACTGACTGGCATCCCCAGAGGGAAACTTTAGGAAGAGACAGAGAGAAAATGTTTCAGCATATGACCATCTCTGCAAAGATTAAAAAAAGGTTGGCTATTGGGTATGACTTTTGATTGTGTGAGCTTAAGAATTTGTCTCTAGTATTTATTCTGTATGTGTAATCTGAGTAAATGTGTATGTGCAGACTAGCATCTTATAATTGACCCCTAACCACTATCTATCTATCTATCTATCTATCTATCTATCTATCTATCTATCTATCTATCTATCTATCTATCTATCTATCTATATCTATCTGTCATCTATCTATCATCTATCAATCTATCATCTATCTATCTATCTATCTATCTATCTATCTATCTATCTATCTATCTATCTATCTATCTATCTATCTATCATCTGTCTGTCTGTCTGTCTATCTATCGTCTGTCTGTCTTGTCTGTCTGTCTGTCTCTGTCTGTCTGTCTGTCTGTCTGTCTCCAGAGTTCCGGCACCTTTTTTGGATGGAACCTTGTAGGGTAGGCAACGCGGGTTGTATGAAATGTGTGAGTTCCGGCACTTTTTTTTTTTTTTTTTTAGAAAAAAAAGCACTGTCTATATCTATCTAATCTATCTAATCTTATCTAATTTATTATTTATATGGCTGTTCAGATCAGACATTGTGTCATACAATATATCAAAAATAAAACAACCGTTTACGTTAAAACTCTAAACTCTTTTAAGAGTTTAATTTTATTTATCATTTGTGAAATTGATCCATCTCCCAAAGGGAAAAAGAAGAGTTGATTCTCTTAGCCACATACCTCAATGCTACATGGCCAACAATTACCCTTTTTGCTTTTTTTGGGGGGGGGAGGGTCATTTGTTAGAATGTTGGAGCCCCCCCCTTTCATCCAATCAAATTAATGGAAATGTGCCAGGTGAAGTGTCCCATGGAACACAGATGTAACAAGAGTAGCCATCATGCTTAAATAACAAAGCAGCAGACA